TCATAAACGCTTGATACATACGTTTCATCAATTAAACATAAAACGCGATTACTTCTGGCTGGATATATTCGTCTCTACATAAATGTGAACTTGTAAAGGGGATGACGTACAAGAGAGAAGCTTATACTTAGATAACTGATATGTTTTTTCCCTATCTAAGTCAGCTTATCAGCTAAATATAACTCAGAATTTCTTCCTAAGAAATTCGATGCCAAAACGAACAAACGATTTCCGAATCGTAAGTTTTATTTGTTTTTACTACCGCCAAATGCATCCTACAGGAAGTGTGTCAGTAATATGAACAGCAAAGATGTATCCAATGTAAACCCATGGAAAATATGAAAAGTTTGCTAATTTCCAAAATAAGGTAAAAGGCAAGAGGTAAACAAAATGTTCAAGGTAAAGTCGATCATAACAAGACAACTGAAGGAAGTGAAACACAATTATGAACTTCGAGAAATAGTACTATCTAAGAAAGTAAAAATGATGAACAAGATATTATAGTAAAATATTATGAACGACGTAGTGGATGAAGTAACATTATGAGAAAACATGGGTTATACTACTCAAAAATAGTACGTAGTATAAAAGCAAAGGTATAAAATGGATGTAAGGGTAACCTCACAGTAAACGAGAACAAAGTATCGAGAGAATTAATAATCATTTATTGACAAGTGATTTACACATCTGCAAAGAAATTGAACTGTCTAATTTGCTTTTCTAAGTTACAACAGTGTGAATCAAATCTACTACAAACCTATCATACAACTTTTGCAGTGACTGAAAAGAATCTTCTGTCCATGTGAATGTCTTTGTCTACGGTTCGGTTGCTTCTTCTACTGTACAGATAGGTGGAATCTCGGTAAATTAACATATCATAGAGCTTGCTGTATAATCCACTTTGAAAAGCTGTAAATGATTTGTCACACTATTGTCAAAATAGGATTCTTTACAACCTTCGTCTTTCTTTTTAACTCATAGGTAGGTAAATAATCGACGAGTAGTTCTTGCTTTACTCAAATAATAGGCTAAAGTCAAATAGACCAGTTGTATTTAAACGATAGTATTGGTGATTTAAAGCATAGACAGTATTACTATCGAAGAGGAGTCTGAAAGTGCGGCATAAATTTAACACACTAATAGCTTGTGATCCAAAGCTATTCATCTTCTTTTTCACAAAGTATCGTAATTATTTTTAAGGATACAGTTGAAACAGGTATTATTATTGTATCTATTATAGGTGAGCATTATTGAAAAAAACGACTTATTCTCTTATCAAAAGTTCCTATAAGTGTATTCATCATGTGCTGAAAATTTATGCAGATGTCTTGTTGGAAGTTTTCTTTGCATACGACATAAGCCATTGGCATCCATTAGTTGTTTCAAAAACATTATTCAGAAGATAATTATCAGTAGTTCATAGAAGGTCATGAGAAAAGTTTTTCAGCCTTCTCGCAAACGTCAGTAGTTCATGTAGTCAGTTCAAAAACATCACTATCCAGTACAACAATCAGTTATAACTGAATTTTTCATATCAAAAATGAATGCCTAATAAAATTAATCGACCCACATTGACTAGCCGAACTTGATTAGTTCTTAGCTATGACATCATGATATTGGTTACTACTTTGTTATCAATCTTCTCAAGGAATCTGACAACTGGAATTTAGTTACACCCACACGAAGCATGATGAAAAATCCTTTGAAATCAATTGATTCTGCACGAGGATTCAAAGAGATTCACATATCCTTTAAACTATTTGACCTCAACCCTGAGTTTACTCACATTCCAAATAAAACATATATATATATATATATATATATATATATATATATATATATATATACTCATTATTATATTATTTATTAGTCCCTTGGGTCCCTAGTGGAACACAGGGCTTCAGTAGCACGTCTCCAGTGACCTCTGTTCTCTGAGATCTTTTGAACCTGGTTACACGACAGCCCACAAGCTCTCATTTCCTCCTCGCATGATCTCCTCCATGTCACCCTCACCACGGACACCCAACTCGTCGCTTCCCATGGGGATTCCACTCAAGTACCTGGCCTGACGCGTGATGTCCCCAGTCGGCCTTCTCAGTGCATGCCACTTCAATCCATCTCCACTTCCTCCTGCATATTTGTTGCGTGATAGGTTCTTGGTTGGTTCGTTCCCAGAGCTCCTTGTTGCTTATTCTTATTATTCTGGCAATCCATCTGATCTTCAGTAGCGAGCCAGCGTAGGTGGCAGTTGTTGATGAATGTCTGTAGTTTATTGGAAATCCCTTTCGTGACGCGCCAAATCTCTGAACCATACAGAAGCACTGACTTGACTGGGTTGGTGTTGAAAATCCGAATCTTGTTCCGCATGCTGAGTGGAGTGCAGAAGATCTCCACACTGGTTTCAGGCTAATCAACGCCTGTCTTGCTTTTCCGATTCTGACTTTGACATCCTCGTCTGTGCCTGTGCTGCCTGTAGTTGAAACGGTGCTGCCTGCCTAGATAGGTGAAGGAGGTTACTTCCTTTAAGTTTCTCGCGTTGATGGTGACTGGAGTTTGTTGTTGTTGTTGTTGATGGTGGTGGTGCGGTATCTTCATCACCCCTGTCTTCTCTATATTCACTTGAAGTTCCGTCTTCGCTGCCCTGCCTCCTCTGCCAACTTGTTAGTTTTCGCCTATACATCTTCAAGTTTGTGTGACATTAGGCACAAGTCATCGGCGAAATCCATGTCTTCTAGGTTCTTTTCCGCAGTCCAGCCATTGTATCCCCCTCTTCTCACAGCTCCCCACTGTTTGCTGCATGATCCAGTCCAGTCAACCACAATCAGGAATATCATGGGGGATAGTAGGCAACCTTGTTTCACTCCTGTCTTCACTTCACTTCAAAAGCATCACTGAGCTTCCCATTGTGAATTACTTGGCTGGCATGTGGCATCTTCATATAGTTATTGAATGAGGCGGATAAAGGTTTGCGGTACTCCGTAGTAATGAAGCAGTTTCCAAATTACTTCTCGGTCAACGCTGTCAAAGGCCTTTTCAAAGTCGATAAAGTTGAGGCAGAGAGCTGATTGCCATTCTATGCTCTGTTCTATGATGATGCGTAGTGTAGCGTTGCAATTTGGTCTGCACATGATTTGTACTTTTTGAAGCCTGCCTGTTCCGGTATCTAGCTACTCATAAGTAGCCATAACTTAAACTATAGAACTTCAAGTGCCATTTAACTAACAAAATTTGTAGTGGTTAACACTGGAATACAAGATGCGTATTTCTTCCCATTCCAGATTTGCCAGCTGGATATATCGGCATCTCATCAACTGTTCGTTTTTGCATTGAGACTATCGCCCAACATCTATCACATCAAGTTGTAAAGCGTTATCCGCTAAGTTGTTGTCTGCTTAGTGGCGAGAAACGGAATATAAAAGGTGTGTTCCCCCTCTCCGGAACTCCTCAGCTGGTTAGGTAAGATTGTGTCCGTGTGTGTTGTTCCCATGGAGGCTCGAACCCAGCACCCGCCAGTTCAAATACCACAACGTTATCCACTAGGTCACTGGGCTACGACAACTGCATCTTGCCCTACCCATCAAACAAACTTCAACATACCGAATATTCAGCAAGTATTGAGGCATCAATATAAAAGTCTATCTCCCAACACAGGCCAAGTATTTTGACTAAATGTAGCAGCGGGAGGTTAAAAGTATCAAACAACATTATCTACTAAGTTACTAACTTGAGACAACTGAACAGTCTTCAAGGGGACTGAGTTTGTTCTTGGAGGTTTCAATATTTTGAAAACACTGATTCGCAGAGTGAACTGATCTGATTCGAGATAATACCTCTGAAGTTTTTATGAGAAGTCGTGACAGGTGGGAAGAGGCAAGTTGAACGAGAGCATAGTTACTTAACGATGGCACTGGATGGAGGTGGCGCTATATCATGAACTGATAAACGTAAGAAATACGAACCACCGGATTTTGACAGATTAGCTTAATGTTAACGTACTCTCCGTGAAAACCGAAGGTCCTGAGGTTGGTCCTTGGTAGGATAGAACCATTTGTGCACACTGCTATGGAGTCCCATAATAAGACGAAACAGCTATCCAGTGCTCCCAAGTTTCCAATGGTCCTTCAACTGATCTCAGTCCGTGATGAATACCAACTTGAAACCATTGGATACATCACCAAAAACCTTCAAATTCGATAGTTTAGATGATAAAATTTATTTTAAAAAATCGGTTGTCATAATGTACACTATCTATGCATAAACTGTACATTATCTAGAACAACTTCAGTGCATAAAACAAAATTATAGTAGTCAAACTAGAATTTCTTATTCAATCATATTTATCTGAGATGCATATTTTATTAGAATAATTTATTGTTCAAATCAATTCCATTGCAACAAATAATGAAGCAGACAACAGCACTAGACTCGTTGTTTCGGTTCTTATCAGCTCGATAAGCAGATATCATGTGTAATAAAGCGAAGTTAATGAAATAAATCTTCTATATCGTTTTATAAGCCTCATCTTCAGTTGCGAAAGAGTCATTTTAGCACTGATAGTATGACATTGTGTGCATTATATGCTTTCATCTCATGAGAATGTTAAGGATACGTACATTATGCGATGAAAATGTTGTTTATCATAGTCAAAATGTCGTCGCTAAAATTTTCAATACACTGAGGTCGATAAATTCGGTTCGAAATGAGTTTTCCTTTGACCTGAAGTTTTATTCGGCAAATATTTCAATACCATACTAGACTTCATCATCACTGCCTCAAAAGGGGATTCTTACGAAACAACACTGACAAGAATTTACATCCTGAGCTACAAATGTCCTCCATCATTCACAGACAACTTTATAGATAAACACACGACAGAAGGGGAAACTGTTCTAAATGACGTTACTCCACTAAACACTTGGAGGACATCTTCAAACACTAGTCTGAGCACAGCACTTATCATCTCAGGTGAATCCTTGTATCGATTTAAGTTTTTAAGACCCCACTCCATGGTTTTATAAAATTTTCTAAACATCGTTTCATTAGCTTACCTCATTGATAAACTGTCATCTTCTCGCAAATGGTAATCCTTCTGCCTAGTTCCTAAATCCAGTTATTAATAATTCTTACGCCTAAAATAAACATCACACTACTAACATCCCTACTAGTACAAAGTGTGATAGGGTGTTGTATTAAGATAAACCAAAGTTGTATTCATACTATCACTCGACCAAATGAAAAACTCAATATTTCACCACAACACGAATCTAATGTATTCATCCGACTAACAGCTAGCCTTTGAATAACTCTAACCAATCCACCAATTTCCGAAAATCGTTATTGTCCCAACATCTATGTATGTTATCTTTCATTTCATTCGACACATCATTGCCCAATAAAAATATGCAACTACATTGTATATTTTGCTTTTCTTTTGTCATAAACATTATATATTATCGGTTGTAAAACATTCGAAGACAATGGATACAATAAATGTCAAAAAATCTTTGTTAGTGTTTTTCGTTTCGTCTTATTCTTTCCAAATTCTACAAATATGTGATACAGAATCGCCTGAAAAACAATACGGCTTTTTTTAATTATCAGTACAAGAATCCTGTGTCTTGTTAAACATCAGACAAACAAATATTTAGCTCTTAAATTTATTAATTTCACATTTTTAATGTATCTGTACAATCTCAGTTTTCGACTCCCTAGTTAACGATGTATCCCATGTCATTGTTAAGCCTTTATTACACATGCTATAAAAAATATGCTTTTTCCTTCTAATGCCCAGTATAATTTGAGGCTATAACCGGCTGATTAATATGGATGATACAAAACGACGCAGCTGTTTCCCTCCCTATCTGGCCTATCTTGTTTCACTAAAGAAAATAAATGTACATCATGTTTTGTGGGTATTGTTGAAAAGTTTTCACATCATATGATAATTATCATAAATTTGATTATTTCTAAAATGAAACACCTAACCATTATATGCTTGCAAAAAAGAACCCTGGGTTCGAGTCTCAGTGTGAACAACATCACTCATCGGGGTGCGAGTATATCCAGCTGACGACTCTCAAACAGGACAAAACGCGCATCCTGGATTCCAATGCTAGTCACCAAAGTGATTATAACATAAGGGATTCGGTTCATTAGCATCAACAGAATCCCAACTCCCACAGAAAAACAGAAATTCAGCATCCCTCTATTTTCTATGATGATAATAATAATAATAATATTTATTCCTGAATTTACACACACATATCTTTTTACGGATACGGTTATGATTATGAGCAATAATTTATGCTCGAAAGGTCATCAAGCAAATAATACTAGATCACTGTGTGTTATAAATCAAATAAACATATCTAATATGGAATATATCACCTCCCTGACGAAACGTTCCATTTTTGTTCGTTCACGCTAAATTGAATATGTGTACACCGTAGCCACCATAAGGCTTTGTATCGCACTCGCTCGCCTAATGAATAATGGTCGATGTGTTTTCAACTTTGAGGTCAGCTCAGAAATTCCTCACCTGTAGATGATACTATAGGGATTTTTCTGAATTTCTGTATGTTTTTTACACCTGTGGCGGACGAAGTGGGGCCACTCAACCATTCGGAAGTAGAACATTGCAGTAAGTGTATGATTCCTTGTAACAATCGATGAATAAGAGTCAAGAGGCTACAAGGAAGGATCTTCATGTGATGCCATAAGGACGTTCATCACAGGTTGCACGTTTGCGGAGGAGTTGCTTGGAGACTGAGGTAGTTATACTTAAGAAAAATACTGATGAAATAATGTAATTCCAATCTAATTGCAGGTTTCCAAGATTCTATTTACAACAAGAACAAGGAAAAAAGAGAGCAAGGAACCAAGGTTCAAGGAAACTATTTAGATGTATATCTTTGCATATACCTACTTGGAGTGTCATGTCTACTATTATTTATGTAACCTAAGGTTTCATGTGTATATGCTGATTAAAATATTGCATTCATTGCATTTTCGTAATTTTCTTTTGTGGAGGTGTATATGAAAACGTCTCCCTTAGTGGTGGTAATAAGTAACAGGTATAATTGAGCTACTTAATTATCGAAGTAGTCCTAACTGTTGTAATCTTACTCATGGAATGTAATAGGAAGTGTGTGGATTTACGGGTCAGGGTATGGTATCTCATACATTTAAGGGACCTATTACAATGAGCGTTGTGGGACGTAGTTGTGGTTTACTCGGTACTCATGAGTTTGCTGGAAGATAAAAATCTTTCTAGCATACGAGTGAACTGCATAGTTGAGCTAAAAGCTCTGATGTCAACAGGAAGATGGTTCCACATTTTCGAGTATTTAGTAGAGAAAAAGTTAGCTAGGAGGGATGTTCTAAAATCTTTCATTTCAATACTGTAGGCTTGACTGCGTAGACTGTAGCAAACGTCTAGAGTGAAACAGGTTTACTCACTAGATGTAAAGGATATTTTATGTAAAATCTTGAAGAAAAATATAAGGTTTATCCTAAGACATCTCATCTAAAGTGGTTTTACATTAAGGGACGTACATCCAGACATATAATCCTGACCACATTCGTTACCAAGTAGCCTAGATATAAAGTACCCGTGGACCCCCTCAGTCTTCAATTCTTCGTTTATATAGATACTCCCTACAATAAACGAACAGTATTATAACAGGGGCCGAACGTAGATTTTGTATAGAAATAATTTAGGTTCATGGTTATGAAAGTTACGAATTACACAGCCTAGTAGGATCCTGAACTTACGCGTCTGTGTCGCAATATATTCAGAGAATGTGAGATCATTGGAGTAATTAAGCCTCAGGTCAGGGACGCTACAAAGACTACGTAGCATCGCAGTTTGTAGAGATAACTGCAGACGAATAAATGGTGCCCCAGGCTTATCCAGTTACACTTATCTAAGTTAAACTGAAGTTTCCATGAGATGGACAAGGATGTTACTAGGTCAACCTTAGTCTGTACTAGCTTTTGGAAGTGGAGCTGGTCTTCATACGAGAATGCGTATGCAACCTTTAGACTATCGGAAAACAAAAACGGTTTTCCAACTGAAAAGCATTTGCAAAGTTCATTAACATAAGGGATGAAAATAAGCGGACGAGCACGCTACCCTGAAATACACCAGAAGTAATCGGCCTAGGTTTAGAAAGCTGAGATTCGATTTTTACAACCGAATACGCGGTTATCAAATTCAAGAGCTCGTAGCTTTTGGATAAGCAGTAAAAAAATCCATGTGGTCAAATGCCTTGCAGATATCAAAATACAGGACAAGGAATAACTGACACTTATCACGGCTAGCAGTTAAAAAGTTAAAAAAATAGAGGTGATAAGCAATATTTGATTGTGGTCTCAAGAATTCATGCTGAATAGATGTGATAACATTATTGTTGAGTATGTGTTGAAGAATACTTTCTTTAATTATTTCCTCCATAATTCTAAACACAACTGGTGTAATTTCTACAGGTCTGTAGCTTTTAACTTCAGTTTTGGAACCAGATTTGTGTTTAGGTATTATGAAGGACGTCTTCCATATATCGGGATACATAGAAGTCTGCATGGATGTGGAGTATGGTTTGAGCAATAATAATGAAATGTTAGGACCCCCATTTTTAAAGAAGTATGAAGCTATTCCGTCAATTCCTGTATTCCCAGAGAATTTGAGTGTTTTAATGGCTCAATTAATGTTAGTACATGTGAACCCAATATTTCCAGTAGGTCTCAGTATTGGAGGGGAGAATTGGTCGCTAATTTTAACGAAGTTCATATTAATTAGGGAAGATTGCTGATGGTAAATAGTAAGAAGCGAACATGTCATTGAATAATTCACCTGGCTTATTATAAACCTAACCATCATGAATGAGAAAAGGAACCTTACGTTTTGTCCGGTTAGATTGCTTCTTTTAGAGTTCTACGAGAGCATATATTTTGAAAGAGATAGCTAGTGAAACGATTTCATCGTTTTTGGCTAACACCTGCTGATAGTTAGAAATGGAACTAAGTCACCAACACCAAATCTTGACTAGCCGAATTATTGAAACCAATTGAAAGGGGATTCTGTAAGTCGACCTTGAAAGATACAACCTACTTGATAAATCTTCGTGATAATACTGACGTTTAAAGTAAGACCATGGGTTATTTTTCGGTGTTAACTACTTATTCACTGATGTTACTTTGACTTAAATAATTGATATTCTATGTCATTGGATTCCCATGCATCAATTTTCAATAATCATTTCTTTGCTTCACTTTTACACACAAACGATTTAATGTTTCATGATAAACCCTTTCATCAGAATATTGTTTCATTTGTAAGTCTCATGAACTTTCTTTAAGTAAATATATATTTTTTTCTATAGAAGATGTGGTCAGTCGAACAAATCGGTGAGACATATATCCTTAGTATGTGTAGGTACGAAAGATGATTGTTTACTCCTCCTAGAAGTATTCATTGGTCGACATCATGGTGGATTAAAACAATCATCTACCACTTGAGAATATATTTGGAGAGGATAGTATCTAAATTGCCATAGTTTCCTGTCTATTGATGCTTGTAATTTCCGGTTGAATCTTAAATAGGTCAGTAATACAGTTATTAATAGTAGTAATAATAGTGGTAATAACAGCAACAACAATAGTGATGATAGTGTTGATAATAATGTTAATAATAGTAGCGGCAATGCTGTGAAAAGAGAATTCAAAACCTCTACAGTATTACCATACAAAGAAGGCACCTCAGAAACACTACGTAGAATTCTCAATAAGACTGCCTAGGATTAGAGCGGTATTTAAACATACAAACTCACCTCAAAATAAGCTTTGTAGGCTAAAAGATCCTATTGACCCAATTAAGCAGAATAACTTAGTTTACCGAATTCCTTGCAACGATTGTGAGGTCGAAGTAGTCGACAAGGGTCAATTAGGCTACCCGGACACAAAAACCTAGCTAGGTCAAAATTGGTGGATCCTGATAAGGTAAAGAATTTAGAAAACTTTCAGTTATAGTTATGCTTCTGATTACACACAATAGGATGGGACAGGGTGAAAATTCTTAAAACTAACATAACAGAGTGGAGGGAGAGGATGATAACTACCGAATCTTTGTTAGTCGAATCAATACCTAACACTTGCAACAGGAATGACTCAGCACCCGGTCCGAACATATGGAAAATCTTACTACCCATGTCACAAAGATGAGGAAATCGGGACTACATAAAGGATATCTCAAAGTCGTGTGGTTATCTTGATATGGACAATAAATTATGTCCAAAACGTAATCCAGTAAACAATACTGTTCCTTCACTGTGATAAATCTAATAAATCAATAAAAATGGAATTACATTCTACCACAGTGGACAAGTTTTACTCTTATACACTTGATTGTCAAATGCAGAAAAGGTTCCGTATTCACATTTGATAAGTCATGTTAGCTTTTAACATTCTTATACTCAAAAATCCATGGTTGATCACTAGGCTTTGACAAAACCAACCTATCGAAATCTTAGTGTGAATTCAGGCTAATGTGTACAAACAAAATACTAGGGGGA